GGATGCCACAATTACGTAATCGTTCAAAGCGGCAATTACTCGTTCAAAGTCCACTTATGTTATTCTGAGTGCTTAAGATGCTTTGTTATCTTAAGGGTTTTTTCCCATTATTTTAATTTTAGTTTTAATATAACATTATAATACAATTCATATTTGTACTTTTTTATAATTTAAAGAAGAAACCAATCCGATGTATATTTGACATTTGAAGCTTAATATTATAGAAAAGCACTAAAGGTTTCTCAGTTACAGTGTTTTCAGCTTGTTTATTTTCATATAAAAATACGGCATGCCGTTGCATCAAACAATGGTATAAACATCATTCAATGTAAATTGTGATAATTGTAATTAATAATCGCAATTACAATTTCAAGGGAATAATCGACAATTATTATTTTTGTCATAATCGTGCAGCCCTACAAAGCAGAGCTGCGTTTGGCTCACACTCACCCCCATCAGGCAGCGGCACATGTTGGCGTAGGCGACGGAGAAGTTGGGCTCAGAGATGGCCTTCTCGAAGATGAGGTCGATGACTCCCTTCAGACGCTCCTCGGTGTCGATGGTGAGCTCCGTCACCTGCTTCATCAGTGGCTGGAACATCTGCGGCGTCAGTTTGTTCAGCACGCTCCGCACGCGTTTGAACAGCTCCTGCGTCGTCAGGAAGTCGGGCTCGGGCTCGTCCTCGTCGGCGCGGCCGCTGCGCTTCCCCATCGGTTTCCAGGCCTTCTCCGCTTTATTCAGCTGCACGTCTTCGGTGAGGGAAACGCTCGCGATGATCTTCCGCGGCTCCTTCCCGCGCTGACCCTGACCTGAACGACGAGGACCGCTCAGACCAGACGGCTAGTGTGACAGAGAAAGATTATATTCAATAAAATAAATTACATTTATTATATTTCTTAGTGCTGTCAAACGATTAATCGCGATTAATCGCATACAAAATAAAAGTTTTTGTTTGCATAATATATGTGTTCTGTGTATATTTATTATGTGTATATATAAATGCACACACATACAGTATATATTTAGAAAATATGTACATGTTTATATTCATAATATTTATTATAAATAAATGTATTTAATATATAAACAAATTTTTCCTGAAATATATACATGCATGTGTGTGTATTTATATATACATAATAATTAGACAGCACACATATATATTATGTAAACAAAAACTTTTATTTTGGATGGGAATAATCGCAATTAATCGTTTGGCAGCACTAGTATTTATCTATACTTTTATTTATAATTTTATTAAAATAAATTATAATTTATGTTGATTCATTTATTTTTTTAATGCCATGTCAGCAGCAATAAAATATATAAATGAATTAAATTCATAATTTATTTAATAAATAATAAACCATTCATTAATTTAATTATAGCAAGTTAATTTATACAATTTTAAATGAATTAAATTAAATAAATTAATAATTAAAATAAATTATTTATCAGTTATTTTATTGAAAAAAATTATAAATAAATTTTTTTTTAAATTAATTATTTACTATTTGTCATTAAAAATAATTATAATAAATTATTTATGATTAATTATATAAAATAATGTGGGCAAATTTAAATAAATAAAATGTATTTATTTTTAATTAATTTATTATTTTTAGCACCATGGCAGCAGCAAAGCTATTGTATATAAAATAAATAAATAAATAATTTATCATTATTTTAGTAAAATTAATTATAAATTATTTATTTTTCTTTATTTATAATTTTTACCACCATGACAGAAGCAAGGCTATCATTAAAAATTTTATAAATTAAAATAAAACACATTATAATTTATTTTATTAAAATAATAATTTATTTATTTATATTTTAACGCCATGGCAACAGCAAGACTATTATTATAAAAAAATTATAATAATTAAAATAACTTATTAAAAAAAATTCTAAAACACATTCAGGCGATACTCTTTTAAAATCCAAAAGTTAAACATTCCTCTGAATAAAAATATTGTCTATTTACATTAAAAACAGTACAGTCTAATGAAATATTTTGTAAAATATAAACACAAAAGCATGCGTTCCGGTGAGGTTGCCATGGTAACTGACCGGGCCACGCCCCCCGGCTGACGGACGGCCGAGATTAGCAAACGAAGGCGTGAAATCTGGACCACAGTTCATGCCGGGCAAACGACTCGGATCCAGCTGCCGCAGAGGAGTTTTATTGGCCTGCAGAGAGAATAAACCATGTCAACGCATCAGGTGTGTGTGTGTGTGTGAGTGAGTCTGTGTGTGAGAGAGAGAGTGTGTGTGTGTGAGTGTGTGTGTGTGAGTGAGTGTGTGTGTGTGAGAGAGTGTGTGTGTGTGTGTGTGTGTGTGAGAGTGAGTGTGTGTGTGTGAGTGAGTGAGTGTGTGAGTGAGTGTGTGTGTGTGAGAGAGTGTGTGTGTGTGTGTGTGTGTGTGAGAGTGAGTGTGTGTGTGTGAGTGAGTGAGTGTGTGAGTGAGTGTGTGTGTGTGAGAGAGTGTGTGTGTGTGTGTGTGTGTGTGAGAGTGAGTGTGTGTGTGTGAGTGAGTGAGTGAGTGTGTGAGTGTGAGTGTGTGTGAGTGAGTGTGAGTGAGTGTGTGTGAGTGTGTGTGTGTGTGAGTGAGTGAGTGAGTGAGTGAATGTGTGTATGTGTATGTGTATGTGTGTGTGTGTGTGTGTGTGCGTGCGTGCGTGCGTGCGAGTGAGTGAGTGAGTGTGTGTGTGTGTGTGAGTGAGTGTGTGTGTGTGAGAGAGTGTGTGTGTGTGTGTGTGTGAGAGTGAGTGTGTGTGTGTGAGTGAGTGTGTGTGTGTGAGAGAGTGTGTGTGTGTGTGTGTGTGAGAGAGTGAGTGAGTGTGTGCGTGAGTGAGTGAGTGAATGTGTGTATGTGTATGTCTATGTGTATATGTGTGTGTGTGTGTGTGTGTGTGTAAGCTTCAGCTACCTTATCCAGCACCACGTCTGAGATCTGCGGCAGACCCTCAGGTTTGTGCATGCTGGCGCTGATGAACTGGAAGCCGAGCAGAAACTCTCGGTCGTATTTCTTCTTCTCCTCGGGGCTCAGCGGTTTCCATTGTTCTGCGGGAAACAAGGACAGTTTTATTAGCGATTCGGTTTCCTCAACAAATGATAAAACCCAATTCATGATTATGCATATAATGCAATTTTTTTAAATGGACAGTTTATCAATCCTCATTTACCTTCTTTATACTGGTATTTCTGTTCGGTGGGTGAACTCGGGGTGGGACTCTCTGGTTTGATGTTTTCAGCATCAAGTTGATCTGTAAATACATGTGAATATTTTCAAAATATATACTGTATGTGTGTCTTTATATATACATAATAAATATACACAGTAAATATTCTGGATGCGATTAATCGTTGCCCAGCACTAGTATTATTTAATGCCAACATAGCTTTTTTTTTTAATTCATTTTTATTTCAGTTTTAGTTCTTTTAGTACATCAAGTTAAATTAAACAGAAAATGTAGTTTTTTAAATATTTTATTCTATTTTTTATTTAAAGTGATGAAAACGTTTATTTTTTTTGGTTTTGTTTTAGTTAACAATAATAACCTGCATATATAAAAGAATGCATATATAAAAATACACTCCTGAACAAAATCTTAAGACCGGAGGAAACATTACAAGTATTCGCATTTCGCGCTGGTGGATTGTAACCAGGCTGTAAGTACTGCTTCAAAATGCCGAAAGAAGAAACAGGAGCAAGAGACAAAAAATAGAGAATAGGCAATTTATTGAAAACTGCATTTAAACTAAAAAAAACAATTGCAATTACAATTTTTATGAGAAAAATAAATTGAAATTTTTTATTTGTTTTCAAATCTTGGTGAAAACTTCATATTTTGATTATTTGACTCATCTAATTTTTCCAGTTTCTGTGTCCATAGAGTATTTTTGTCTTTTTCACACACCTTGTTGATTTCGCGAAGCTACCCAAGAATCACGTCATTAGAATTAATTGGCCTGACCAATATATCTGTCACTAATTTTCAACCATAATCTGTAACTGACTAATCGATCTGAATAATTACGTTACACACCTTTGAAATGAATCAGATGCTCATTTACAGGGTGCTACGCTTACTCTTCTTTAATCTAAAAAAATTTAAGGAGCACCTGATCAATAACAGAAATTAGCCTTCCCATTACAAAGTAATATTTGACTCCTTAACGTGATTTACAGGGGCATTTTTTTTATTCTTTCTAATGCATTTTTTAAAAGTATGTCATATGTCAAATTCAAAAATCTATATTTATAAGCTTTTCCAAAATTTCTAATAAAAAAAAAAACGGCATGGGTGTTTTAAATTCATAACAATGTTGTGAGATTATAGTTTGAGATTGAAATTATTTAAATAATAGAAAAGATACTTTAAAAATCTAAATAAAACTGCCAGCAGGTGGCGGCAAATCACTGATTTGATCACTGAATCATTCATTCAATTGATTCGTTTGAACGGCTGATTCATTCAGGAACGAAGCAAGTGACTGTCTTTATGAATGAGTAGGTAATTGAATCATCAAATCATTTAAAGATTCATTTAAAAACGCCGCTTTGTTTGCTTGGAGATGCGCAGCGGCTCGGCTGTGACTTTGTTTGAAACCATTCTCGTTGACGAAATCTTGGCAAAATCTGACAATATTGTTAAAGTCATACAATGCATGTCACTTAATATGAACTTATCGTTTATTGAACTGTTGTATGAATTTAATATCACATTTGCAAACTCCCTTAATAATCTTTATGAATCAGATGCTCATTTACAGGGTGCTACGCTTACTCTTCTTTAATCTAAAAAAATTTAAGGAGCACCTGATCAATAACAGAAATTAGCCTTCCCATTACAAAGTAATATTTGACTCCTTAACGTGATTTACAGGGGCATTTTTTTTATTCTTTCTAATGCATTTTTTAAAAGTATGTCATATGTCAAATTCAAAAATCTATATTTATAAGCTTTTCCAAAATTTCTAATAAAAAAAAAAACGGCATGGGTGTTTTAAATTCATAACAATGTTGTGAGATTATAGTTTGAGATTGAAATTATTTAAATAATAGAAAAGATACTTTAAAAATCTAAATAAAACTGCCAGCAGGTGGCGGCAAATCACTGATTTGATCACTGAATCATTCATTCAATTGATTCGTTTGAACGGCTGATTCATTCAGGAACGAAGCAAGTGACTGTCTTTATGAATGAGTAGGTAATTGAATCATCAAATCATTTAAAGATTCATTTAAAAACGCCGCTTTGTTTGCTTGGAGATGCGCAGCGGCTCGGCTGTGACTTTGTTTGAAACCATTCTCGTTGACGAAATCTTGGCAAAATCTGACAATATTGTTAAAGTCATACAATGCATGTCACTTAATATGAACTTATCGTTTATTGAACTGTTGTATGAATTTAATATCACATTTGCAAACTCCCTTAATAATCTTTAAAAGCTGTCACTCACTTCAGTTCATCGCGATCTCACAAAGTTGCGTTATAAACAATGAAGCTCTCTACACTGCATTTCTTATTTACACCCTGTCTACACTTTGTTTGTTATAACGAGAGGATTTGTGAGCTTGCATAACTCAGCAATGAACAAAACTCCAGTATTTTGAGCAGTGAGTGGATTCTGATTAACATTGCATTCAAGGAATCAACACGTGTGTGCGATACATTACTCAACGCTGCAAAAACTCATATGTAGAGTCCTGATTTACCTTCTTTATACTGGTATTTCTGTTCGGTGGGAGAACTCGGGGTGGGACTCTGCGGTTTGATGTTTTCAGCATCAAGTTTATCTTCTTTCTCCTCCCACGTCTCATCCACGTCCTCTGCAGGGGGCGGGACCACGGGGGCGGGGCTCTCAGGCTCCGCCTTCACTGGGGGTGTGGCCTCTGGCTCAGGGGGTGTGGGCTTTAAAACAAGATAACGGGTCACTTTCACCTTAATCCTATGTAGACATATTTTAATTATCCCTCACGTTATCACACAGAATCGCTCCATACTAGAAGAAAGTCAAATCTGTAACATTTTGTGAAATCTGTAGTTTCAGAAAGTCTTGGATCCACATCGCTCACAGCAATTCCAGTAGCTTTGCATAAACTGTAAATGTACAGGCCTTGAACTACTTTATTATTGAATACAAAGAAACAGTTTCTGGCCTCAAACCATTCACAGACCTCTTTAAAGGCATCAAGCAGATCTCCCGCCTCCTTCTTGTTCAGGTCTTTCATTTTTCTCTTTTTCTTTGGCACAGAAACCACTGCAAACACACAAACAGACTGAGCATGAAAATAAATGCACTATGAAATCAAACAGACATCAACAGCCTCCACTAGCCATGATATAAAACACAAAGAAGCTTCAGGCCAGAAACATACTCTTACGCAATTATGCAAACATTAACTGTTGGTTTACAATTTAGGCTTCATCCAAAATCCCGTACTTCCCTACTACGTAGTAGGCGAAACAAAATAATATGACTGAATTAACAGCATTCATAAAATAGCATGCAAAAAGTCCCAAAATGATCCACTATTTTGCGGCGAGATTCTGAAGTGCACATCCAACAAACACTGTTGCCAAGGCATTTCTAATTTCTTGAAGTACTGAAGTTACTAAACCATAAACTAAAATAAAAATAAAGCTTAATAAAAACATTTTAAAAAGACTATATATAATAAACTTTAAAAAATTAATTAAACTTTTTTTTTTCTTTTCAAAATATAAATACTATAATCATATTTAAATAATACTAAATTACTATACTACGTTACAAAACAATAATTTTTAGTTTACGCAAAGCACACTACAGCTACCCTTGTGGCAACATACCAAGTACTTAGTGTTGCTGTTTTTAAATACAACTAAAAATTAAAACTACTGAAATCTGAAATAAAATATTTAACGAAACACACATTTTTTGTTAGTTGCCAAAGGCAACATTTAAAATGGTTGCCTAAGTACTAAAGTTACTAAAACGGAAACTGAAATAGTAAAAAAAAAAATTTTTTATAATAAAATTACTAAAACTAAATTTAAAATAAAAACTGTAAAACAAATACATACAAAATAAATAAAATCTAAATATTAATAAATACTTTAAGTGTGCATGAATAATACTAAAATTGCACCGGTACTATAATAGGTTACAAAACATAAATTTTTAGTTTACGCAATGCACACTATAGCTCCCCTTGTGGCAACACCTCAGACATGTAGTGTTATGCTTAACTAAAACTGCTGAAATAACAGAAATATTCCATGAAAAACATCAAATATACTTAATCATTTATTTCAGTTAGTTGCCATGGCAACGTTTCAAAATGTTAAGTTGCAATACTAGTTAAAACAAACTGAAATAAAAATAAATCTAAATAAAAAAATTACTTCAATTTAAACTAAAAATTGGAAAATGAAAAAAAATATATATAATAAACTTAATATAATAGAATAAACTATAAAATATAAAATAGAAGTTAATTCAAAATATTAATAAATACTATAACTGTAAATGAAAAAACTGGCACTATGTACATTTGACAACATCTGGATTCACATACTAGCATACAAATGATAAAAATAGTAACAGTAGTATGCTAGTGTGCGATTGCCTTACGACTCATACCTTGCATAGAACTCTCAGAGGGAGTGGTCTGTGTAGTGGGCGTGTCCTCATGCCCTTCCATCGGAGGGGGCGTGGCTTTAGAAATGACCTCTGAAGGGTCAGTGGCTTCCTTGAAAAGTGGTTCGGGGGTTTCCTTGGCAGCGAGTGAAGGTGTTTCCTCGATGACAGGAGGAGTTTCGACAGGGGTCTCCGTGACAACATGCATTTCCTTGACAACAGCCTCCTGGGTGACCTTCTGACGGGTTTCCGCATCAACAGGTGTAGGTGTTTCCTTGGCAACCACAGGGACAGTCGCCTTGACGACAGGAGCGGGGGTCGCCTTGACGACAGGAGCAGCCGTCTCCTTGACGACAGGAGCGGGGGTCTCCTTGACGACAGGAGCGGGGGTCTCCTTGACGACAGGAGCGGGGGTCTCCTTGACGACAGGAGCGGGGGTCTCCTTGATGACAGGAATGGGGGTCTCCTTGACGACAGGAGCAGCCATGTCTTTGACGACAGGAGCGGGGGTCTCCTTGACAACCGGAGGAGTAGGCTCCTTGACGACAGGAGCGGGGGTCTCCTTGACAACCGGAGGAGTAGGCTCCTTGAAAACAGGGGCTAGCACTTCCTTAACTTCAACGGGAGTCTCCTTGACAACCTGAGAAGGGATTTCTTTGACCATCCTATCAGAAATATCGGCGGTATACGGCAGCGCTTCTTTCGCGACATCCGGCTCGGCGATAGGACTGATGTCTCTGTGGGCGGAGCCTGCTGGGACGCCGTTGAACAGCTGGAGCTCTTCGGGCTGCACTATTGGTGATTCCAGTGAAGGCTCCGCCTGGGGGGCAGCGACAAGCAGTGTTACAGTCACAGGCCCCTCCTCTTTGCTTGTAGTGGGTGTGGCTTCGGCACCGTTCGAGGCGGGTGGTTCCACCACAGTGGGCGTTGTGTGGGTGTCGTCTGCAGGCGCTGGGGGTGGAGCATCTACCGTATCGCTTATCGGACTGGTAGGGGGCGGAGTCGGCAGGGCATCGGGTATCGGGCTTTCGCCTGGAGGGATGGGAAACTCCACTCTGGTTGTCATGGCGACTGCAGGTGTGGCATTGTCACCATTGGGCTTTGCGCGATTTTTAAGTAAAAATGAAAATGTATTATTTGTAAAGTCATTTGGACTGAGTGCGTAAATGACAAAATGTACATTTTTAATCTATGCAAAAATTACTTATAAATTATTTAAGTCAACATGAGAGTTATTACAGAAAAATGAAAATTATAAGTAATTTGGTCTGACGTGATTGAGTAAATGACGACAAAACATTCATTTTAGTTTAGGAACTTTTAAAAAAAAATTATTTGGACTGATGTGAGGAAAGGACAACGAAATGTTAATTTTTACTTCATGCAAAAATGAAAATTATTTCTAAATAATTTGGACTGACATGACAGTAAATGACGACAAAACATCGATTTTGAATGCAAAAAAAAAAAATATTATATTAACAAGTCATTTAGACCAACATGAGTGTGAGTAAATAATGATGAAATGTTAATTTTTAGTTTACGCTAAAAAATCTGAAAAGTCAATTGAAAAAATTTATTAAAAACTCATTTAGACTGACAACAAAACATTTTCAGTTTATGCAAAAATTTAAATTATTGATAAATCATTAAAACCAACATGAGGGTGAGTTAATTAACAAAACATTAATTTTTATTTAATGCAAAAATGAATTATTATTTATAAGTCATTTGGACTGTCATGAGAGTGAGTAAATGATGAACAAATGTTAATTTTTAGTTTACGCAAAAATGAAAATTATGAAGTAATTTAGACTGACATGAGTAAATGACGAGAAATTATTTTTTACTTTATGCAAAAATAAAAAGTCATTTGGACTGACAACATGAGAGTAAATGACAAAACGTTCATTTTTAGCTTATGCAAAAATTTAAATCATTTATAAATCATGAAAACCAACATGAGAGTGAGAAAATGACAACAAAATGTTAATTTTAGTTAATGCAAAAATGAAAATTATTAATAAGTAATTCAGACCAACATGAGAGCGAGTAAAGTGACGAAACCTTTAATTTTTAGTTAGTGCAAAAATGAATTATTATTTATAAGTCATTTGGACCGACATGCGAGTTAGTAAATGATGATAAAGCATTATTTTTTACTTCATGCAAAAATTAAAAAGTCATTTAGACTGACAAAATGAGAGTAAATGACAAAACATTCACTTTTAGTTTAAGTCATTTGAACTGGAATGAGAGTGAGTAAATAACAAATCATGTTAATTTTTAGTTTATGCAAAACATTCACTTTTAAGTCATTTGTACTGCTATGAGTGTGAGTAAATGATGAGGAAGCGATGATTGTCTTGGTTCAGCTGTTCAGGTGTGTGTTCATTACCTGTGGAGGCGTGGGTGTGGAGCCACTGCGACCTCCTGACATGATCTCTTCTGTGATGTCACGTCCTCCCTGATTAGGGTCTCTGATCCTGATCTAGAGAGAGACATTTAGCACACGTAACAGAAGAAATGAGAACATGGCTGAGAGAGAGAGACTTTAACATGCAGCACATGGAAAAGACTAAAGCACAAATAAGTCACGATATAAACAAGAGAAAAACGATATCAGCGAGTGATTTAACCCAAGAAGCATTTCTCAGTGCTGTGAGACAAAATATGATACGAATGTCTCACACACACACACACACTGCAGCACCTAATAAAGAAGTAAATTGCACAACAGCCTGGAAACTTTCCTCGCACAAACTCAAATCTGACTGTTTGTCCAACTTATCTGCACTTTACCATTGACTCGCCAGCCCTCAGAGGCAAACGCGCGCGCACACACGCACACACACACACACACACACAAGGCAGCACATTCCCTACCTTCCTCCCCTCGGTCGGAGAGGTTGAGTTCTGCTAGGCCCGGCTCATCCTGGGGCTGGAGTTTAAACTCAGCCTAACTCGGACACACTAAAGTGGGCAGACTGCCTGGGCCGATGTGGGCCTCAAACTCTCGCTCTCACGTACAGGAGAGGAGGGAAGAAAAAACAGTGAGAGAGAGAGAGAGAGAGAGAGAGAGAGAGAGAGAGAGAGTTC